TATTTTTTTATATTTTTTTAAACAAAATTAATAATTGTTTAGTTTCCTTTTTTAGACAGGTCAGGTCAGGTCAGGTCGGGTCAAATGTATATTTAATTCAGGTCAATTTTATGTCTGACCCGACCTGACCTTATCAGGTCGGGTCAAGTCAATTACCCGACCCGACCCGACCTGTTCGGAGCTCTATATTACATAAACTTTTAAATTAATAAACTTTCAAGTTTGTCTACTTATTATTAAATATAACTTTTGATTTACTTTAAAATTTAAAAATTTTTTTATAAAGATTTATATATTATAAATTTAAAAATCTTGTAATTTTTATTATTAATTTATTATAATTTTATTAAATTATATAAAGAAAAACTTTATTATTATAATATTTATAACTTTTATTAGTAATATAATTTAATCAGTATACAAATATATGAATTTAAAATATTTATCTATATTTTCTATATAATGATAATATTCGAAAATTTAATATTATATTTTTTTATACAACTTAAAAATATTTCTAAGATTAATATTATATACTTTATTATGTTTTTTTTTAAGTTCACAAGCAAATATTGCTGCTAATAATCTAAGAGATAAGTTTTAAAAAAATAAAATTATTATAGATATTATCAAAAGAAAGTTTTTAATTATTCAGACATGTGAATTTGTCACATTATTTTGATAATCAGATCATAAATTTGTGGCTTAGCATATATATTGGGAAGAAACCGACTTTTTCTAGCAGTAAAAATATTTGGAAAAATGATAATCAAATAAATAAAAATCTGATAATTTGTCATAACGCCATTTTACAAATGTTTACTTGAAGATCTTTGAAGATCTCATAACGGTGATTTATTTTACACCCCCCCCCCCCGTTTTAGTTGTAAAAATCACATATAATAAAATTTTAAAACCGAAATTATATTGTTAAGAAAAATATTTAAACTATTATTTAAAATCAAAATGGGGAATTGTTAAATTCACCTTTAAATTAAAATATTCAAGTATTTTTACCAAAAACAATTAATTAAATTTGAAATTAATAAACCAGTTACGTTCTTGTTTAAAGAAATAATTTCATGCCAATAACACAGACCACGTTTTGGGGTTTTAGAATGATGGGGTAGCCATGTGATTTCCTCATGATAATTTAATAAATGTTGGGAAATTGTGACAATGTTAATAATAATTAAGTGACATCATATAAATTTTTTTTTTTGGAAGGGAAAACCTTGTCAACTAACTTGATCTGTAAAAAAATTTTTTTTTCTTAATTATAATTTACTTAATTTGGATTAGATTTTTTTCGGTTAAATCCCAAGTATAAAAAACAAAAAGAATTCTCGAATACATGTTTTTAAAAAAAAATTCCATTGATGCTTTCTCTCAAAAGGTATAAAAATTAGAATAAAAATTTTTTATTTCGAACGTTCCCCATAAATATATAATGCCTATACGTCGAAAAATGTCTTCTTCGATACGTAATTCCTCAGAAACTACATTACAAGGGGAAACTACTTCTATAACAACATCGATTGATCATACTACAAAAATCAATGAATCTCAAAATCCACCTAATACTTTACCTGTTTTAAAAGTTTCGCCAACCTGTAATTTTGCCGACTTGCCTCTTTGGCTTCAAGATAATTGTTATATCTTGAGGGGTTATCGAAGGCCTACATTTTGTTATAGAAAATGTGCCAAATCTTTATTTTACATTCATAATGAAAGTGGTAAGTTCATAATTTTTTTTTTATGATTCGAAACTACATGATAAGTAGAAAAATTTTCTAACTTATTTTGTTACTTCAGTTAATATTTGGTCCCATTTAATTGGGGCGTTAACTTTTATTTGTCTGGGGTTCACAACGTATTTTTTTAAATTGTCACATCAACCTAATGTGAGACTCTGGGACTTCTTTGTATTTTATATGTTTTTACTTGGTGCCATGGTTTGTTTAGGTTTTTCTTCAATTTTTCATACATTATGTTGTCATTCAGAAAGAGTTTGTGCAAACTGGAATCGCTGTGATTATGTCGGAATTGTGACATTGATAGTAGGGTCATTCTATCCGATGATATATTATGGTATGTAAAAAAAAAATATTAGTAAATTTATAAATAAATAAATCATAGTAAACTTATTTTATCTTTCTAAATTAATCCCTAGGATTTTATTGTCATTCAACCTTACAAATAATTTATCTTTCAATGATTTCTATATTTGGGGCTGCAACGGTAGTTAATAACTCCATTTATATTACTATATGCTACATTATTATTGATTTACCAATTTCGATCTTTAGATTTCAGTTGCAGTCTCAAGTCGGTTTAGATCACCACAATATAGATGGTTTCGTACAGGGTTATTTTTGGCTATGGGATTGAGTGCATTTGTACCATTAGTTCATGCTGTTATAATTTATGGAGTAAGTAAAAGAACGTAAATTTTAAATTTTAAAAATGTTCTTTTCCCAAAAATGCTAATATCCCTAATCTTTTTATCATAGATTCAACTTTGTTTTGATGTGATATCATTAAAGTGGTTATTATTAATGGGCGCTTTATACGTTTTGGGGGCTGTCATCTACGGTGCTAGGTATGTTATATAGATATCTCAAGATTATACATAATATATGTTATATATATATTCAATATATTTATTATAATAATTTTTAATTATAGAATGCCAGAAAGATGGTTTCCGGGAACATTTGATATCTTTGTAAGTTTATCACTTCTCCCTACATATTTTAACATCGATTACATTAACTTTGCTTTCATTAACTTTTTTTAAAAAAAATTTCATAGGGATCATCACATCAAATATTTCATTTTTTTGTAGTAATAGCTGCACTTGTACATTATTATGGAGTAATGCAAGCAATGGTATATTGGCATGATCAAAATCATAATTGTCAAGTTGATGTTAAAATAATGAAACCTAAAGCATTTATATAGTTCACGATTTATTAGCATTTTGAATAATTGTAATTTATCATCAAAGTATTCGACATTTGACGTAATTTGTAAGGGACATAATGGACATAATTTCTTAGATAAAATTATCCGATAAATAAATAATCCATAACTATTTTGTTCACGTAAAGGTGATACAAACAGCATCATAAATTCATTAGATCTTGAATAATATAGTTTTGCATCCGTAAAGCCTTTTTATTATTATATATAGAATAAATTCACAAGTTCCTATAATTATTTTAACTTATAATCACGACTTCTATTTGGTTTTTCCTAATTTATAATGAAAGAATTTTTTTTTGAATCATGAAATCTTAAGGTCAAAAGAAAAAAAGAAAGAAAATATATCCAAGAAATAATCTCCATAAAAGAAACTATAATTTAAAGCTATAATCGTTAATAAAATACGAGATGTTAGCAAGAAGATAACGATAAGGAAAAACTAAACAAACAAATAAAGACACTCTAACATAAAATCCAAATACATGTCCCTTTCATAATTAATCCCATGTAATAATTCCAAAGACGTACGGATGCAACCTTCTTTAGTGTTATCACCTGTGAGAAACATAAAAATATTTTATATATAAGATAAAAATCTAGATTTACGACTTTATAAAATAATAATAATAATAATAATAACTTAACTAATTCAAACCACTTGAATATTCTGATATTCATGCCTTTTGATAACAGTATTCCAAGTCACTAAACCTTCGCAATCCACTTCAACCAATTTAGGAAACGAAGTGATATTCATCAATTCTTTACGAATATTTTCGCTTAGATTTTTGCATCCATGTACAATTAATACTTCTAATTGATTAGATTCCTTAAATATTGATCGTAATGATTTACACTTTTTAAAATCGACTCTACGAAAATGTAACATTTTTAACGATTTGGCGTGATATTCCAGTGCCGAAATTATAGTCTGTGTAATCTTTCCTCTTCTCAAATAAAAGGTTTTTAATTCTTTCTGAGATTTTATGATTTCTGCTAGTTTTTGATCAGAAGACCAGTATGTTTCATCTAGTGTCATATCAACTTTTAGGATTTTCTTTTTTTTTTTTTTTTGAAAAAAAAAAGATTTTATAAACATTATAATAATAATGGTCATAACACTAAAAAAATAAAAAAAAAATAAAAAAAATTTTCGACACAAACCAATCTTTGACAGGTTTGACATAATAATTCCAAGCACTCAACATTGACTAATTTCCTTACATCCAAAGAAAGTTGTTTAATATTTGAAATAAAAGATTGATAATTCGGTTCCTGTAACAAAATCCATAACTCATGATGTAGATTATCCAATAAAGATCTTTTATCCAAATCAAGTTGGTAAAGGGTAACGCAATGTTTTGCAAAGATGTTTAGGATCCCTCTTAATAATAAATTATATTGTTTTGAAATTGGTTGAGGGCAATTATTACGACACCATAAAAATATTGCTTGGGATAATTCTTGCATGCTTATTGATTTCAAGAAAGAAGGATAACAAAAAGTTGCGGATTTTCTTTCGTCAACATGATTAAATGAGATTCCGGATTTTTCCAATAATTTTCTTTCTTTATCCGTAAAAAAAGCCATATAAGTTGTAATGATCCCCTGTGATGGGATGATATTTGACCATAATATTGGTGTGGAATTTGCACTCCAATATTTACTAACAAGTGTGCAAGAGTATAAATCTTCCAAAGTTTCTGCGCGATCAGTGTTTATTCCATCGTTATATAATATTGAAAAAACTTCTCGCAAAATTTCCGTTGGAATTTTATCGATATTTGTAGTACCTATATTATTTTTATTTTTTTTTTCTTTTTCTGTTAAAAAAATTAAAGAACATTATAAATTTTGGATAATTCACTTACCATTATTGTTCTCTTTCAAGAAACGTTTGTATACCATCTTTGTTATCAAAGAAAGTAAGAATTAGAAGGAGAAAAGGTAAATTGTCCGTGCATCGATGAATATATAAAATTTGTGACCAATAGCGTCATCTATTTCGAACAGCTAGCCCGATTTGTATGATTGAAATGTTGGTGTAACAACCCTCGAGCCGTAGCATTGTTCTATTCACTAACGTCTCCTCTTTTAGTAATGTTTAAGCGTGAGAGTTTCAATGCATTATGATAATAATGTAAAGTATATATTCATGTGGTAGGATGATCCGCATGAGATTATAATTTTACTTCTGTTGTTAAAAACAATGATGATTGTTTGATTATAATATGATCGTGCTTTACAGGCAGGCATTTTCAAAGTACCACAGAACACATTTTTATATTAGGAAAAAAAAAAAACGAGAATTTGTAACATTTGTAAAATATCTTTTTACAAACATGTCATTCCGATCAAATATTTTGATATCTTGGTTGCAAGCTGTAATCTCGATTTCGGCTTACAAGAAGTGGTTGGAACGTATCAACAGATTGGATAGGAAAATTAGGTGGTTCGATATTAAGCTTATTATCAATCGGTAATTGCTTATGTTACCAGCACAAATCTAAAACTTATTGTAGATCAAATATATATATATACATATCAGTAATTTGATTTCGAGATTTATAATTCAACAAAATTATGAACTTAATTAAAGATTAAGAAATAATCATATTTTATAAAGTACAGTTTATTGTTAAAAGTACAATAATTATTCTATATATATCTTACATAAAATTTATATTGTATATATTGTATATTAAAGAAAGATTAAATAAATTAATTACTAATTATAAATGCTTTGTGTGAGATTCTAAAAATACATGATAATGTTATTATACAACTGAAGTAAATAAATAGTTTAAATTTTCTATTGCAGTATTTTATGAGAAGATTCAATTTAATTAATAATCGTAGCCATAATCATAATCTTCATCTTCTTCATCTTCTCCTTCATTATCATCTCCTTCAACTTGTTTCCCTTTCTTCACAATTTTTTTCAACTTTTCTTTTCTTTTTATTTCTCGATGTTCCATTTTAATTTTGACTACCTCTCTCTTTTCTTTACCACTTTCCTTCAGCCAACTTTTTAAAAATTTTCTTTGTTCAACCTCTTCTCTACCAGTTACATTTAAAGCTTCCTTGATGCTTTCGGGTGAACTTAAAGAATAAATTCTATCCAACAACACTTTGATCGTATCTAATTGAGATAATTTAGCAGCATAACCCAAAACATTAAGTGCTTCACCACTTTTAATTAATTCCTTTTCTTTTTGATCATCAGTTAAATCAAATGCCACTTTATTTGTTCCAGCAATCATTATCTCGTCATCATCATCCTCATCATATAAAAATTGTTCTTCATTTTCATTTTCATCTCTCTCAACTTGTCCAATTCTAGCATTTACATCAATCCCCCATTTAATCAAACTTTTAATTAATTTTTTAACCCATTCTTCCTTCATATTAATTCCCATATCAACACAAACGAATAATAAATTTGGTAATTTTTTTCCAGGTATGGTGATTTGTTTATTCACATCAGCACCATAACTAACCAATAATTTCAAGATCTTGTAAATCTTTTCAAAAGGTCCATTATTATAATTAAACCGAACCTGTGTTAAAGTATAGCCCAGAGAGTTACCACCAATTCTATTCCTAAGATTGGGATTTGCTCCATTTTCCAAACAAAATTTTATTACATTTGGTGCCATTTCTTTATGCCATTTAAATAATAATGTTAATAATAGCGTGTCTCCGCTGTTTCTTTTCGAATTAATTGAACATCCATTTGACATTAAATATATTAATGATTCTTTAAAATGTTGTGAATTCGTTTCTAATGAAAATAATGATTTATTCTCTCCTAAATAATTTATTGGTGATCCTCCTGTATACGAATTCGTACAATCACATGTTGCTTTTAATGATTGTAACGCCTTAAATGTTTCCATTATTTTTTCACCCGGACAATATTGTGTTGTTTCTATCATCAATGATTCTAATGGTCTTCTATAACTAATATTATATATATATATATATATGTTTTAAACAAAGAATTTAACATAAAGCGCATTTTGTTGAAAAAAAAAAAATAAATAATATGTCAAATACCTATTTCTTGGACCTGTCACTTGTTGAATCTTATTAACATTCTCTTTCTGTACATTAACATGCCATCTTAGTCCATCTATGTCACCTTGTCTTACATGATATGCTGCAAAACATGGTGCAGAATTAATCGTCCAATTATTAGATGCGAATAACACTCTACAATATTCACTGTATGGAACTACCAATATTAAAGAAAATTTAAAATTGGCGTAAATTAGATTTAAAATAATTTGCTATTATAACTACATCTGTCTGATTCTACTGTTTTTGTGGATATTCTCAAAGAATTATCCGAATAACTTCTTCCAAGACTAAAGAATCCTTTATAATAAATACAATAAAGTTAAAAAAGTTAACTTTTGTCTTTTTTATATTATAAATAGGAAAATTAAAATATCATTTACCCCTACCTCTTAAATTATTTTCGGATTTTGGTGTTATTGGACTTTCAATTTCTTTATCTTTAATAGGAAATATGTTATTATAAATAAAAATTATCTAAGGATGATAATATATACACTATCGATTATGCACCTGCAAATACAACTGTCCAATTAGCCCCTACTTCTTCATTATTTTTATCATTTATAATTTCTGATAAAAAATTTTAATTGGTGATTAATTTGATAAAATAAAATAAAATAATAAAAAACAATTTATTTTAATACCTTCTTCACTCAACAAATTTGATCTACCGGAAGATCTCTAATTATTTAAAACCAAATATTTCAATATTACTGGATGAAGTACTCGAGTTACACATAAAAAATACTCACCCTAAACAGTTTATCACTTCCGGATAATCTTCTAACAAGATTTTTTGCTCTATTCTTTACTTTTTTCTTCCATGATTTCTTTAAAGTGCTTTGTTCCTTATTTATTTCTTGCTAAAATGCGAATCAAAAGTAAATAAAATAATTGGTTTCATAAAGATAAAATAAATAATATTATTACCTCATTAGTCATTACTGTTGTGTTGGTATTTTTTATTTCTTTTCCTACTTGTGAAATACTTAGACCTGCGAAAACGTAAAGGTAAGTTGAGTGTTCATTTGATACCTAGTCCTTTCTTGGACAATGGTTGTCACTTACCTTCAGTAGATATTTTCAACGATTTCCTATCATGATCTTTTAATAAAAAATGAATTAGCTATTAAAATTTTAATAAATTGTCACAAAGTATTTTGAATATACCTGTTTTTTCCATTTTTGTTATTTTTGTTGGAATTGGTTTCGTTTCTACGGAGATATCATATATTACAATAATAATATAATTATAACAATTATAACGATAATAAAATAGTCAATACCTATTTTGCTAAGCCACAGCTCTGCCGTCATCGCATCATTCGCCAACTCTAATAGTTCTTTTTGATTATATTACATCAAGTCAGGAGATGAAATAATTTAATCAAAAAAAAAACGCTTTATCGAAACTTGAAAATTTACCTTGTTCTGACATTCGATTGGATGATTTACGACCTTTTTCAAAATAATAATAATATATTTATAAGAACAATGGAAGGAATGAAACAATTATTCAAGTGAACAAAGCGTACTTACGAAAGAAAAAAATTTTTTTTTTATCACGATTTTTTTTTTGTTTTGGGACAAATTTAATATCATGTATTATTATTATATTAGGGTTGGTTTTTTTTTTCATCATCATTCATGTTGCGTATTCAACGAATAAATAAGTTTTGCAAACCTGTATTAATAATGTCCAACAATTTTTTCAACTGCTTTAATATAATTCCAATTATTGGCCTCTTTGTAGGATCGTTATTCCAACATCTTGTATAAAATTCACTGTACGCAATCGGTGTATTAGGTACAACCTTTTCCCGTTTATTATGTAAGATATTGAATATCAAATTACGTTTATTGTGATCATCTTGGTAAGGAGATCTTCCGCTTGATATTTCCCACATTATTACCCCCAAACTATAAATGTCAGAACGCGCATCTTTTCTATAAGATTTATCTAGTAATAATTGTGGTTCAATGTACGGTACGTTGTTAATCGAGAATTCATCACGAGTTAAAGCATCGAAGGAGGTAGGTGAGGTTGTGAGGTATTTAATCATGCCGAAATTTGATAATTTTACATGATTTTGGTGAAATACTATGTTGCAAGGATACTAATGACGCGCAGTAAAAATTAATACGCATGAATTATTTGTTGATGCATACAATTTACCTATCACATACAGTTTATCTCATTAAACTAGAATCAACATACCAAATTACCATGTATTATTCCATTTACATGAAGAAAATTTACCCCTTCGGAAATCTGATAAGCTATGTCTAATTTATCAGCCCAAGATAATTTGGCAATATTTTTTTTTAAAAGGGTTCCTCCGTCGGCATATTGTGTCACAAATAATAAATTATTCGTCTTTGGTTCTATTTAAAAAAAAAAAGGATAAAAATTTTAGCGAAGTCGCGGGTATGGATAAATTTATTTTAAGAGGGAAGAGAAAAAATATTTTTTTTTTTACTTACCTTGAGAAATTCCAAATATCTGAATGATTCGCTCATTAAAATCCTTTTGTGAATATAATTTTAACTTGAAAAAAGAAAACGAAAAGGGAAAGGAAAAAAAAAAGAGGACTAATCAATCATCGTTTAATATATATATACTCTATAAAATAAAATAAAATAAAATAAAATTATAAAAAAAAAAAAAATAAAAAAATAAAAAAAAAATGGGTCACCTCGTGAAGAAAAACTTTATTCATTTCATCATCTACAATCAAATGTTTTTGAATGATCTTTGATATGACCTTTATTCCTGTTTTTTTCCAATAATTTACTCTGTTATCATCATCTCCCTTGGCATCTTCATAATAATCAAATTCTTCAAAGGGAATTAAATTGATATGACGCAATTTGACGATATTGTCAATCCACTTTATACATTGGGCCATGATTTTTTTTTTTTTTTTTTTTTAAGGACTTGTTCGTTCCTGCTTTAATTATAAAGGGGTTTAACTTCTTTTGACGTGTATAATATTCAAAAATGGATTAAACTACATAAAAATATTTAAGAAAATAAAAACAAAAAAAAAAAATGAAAAAAAAATTGAAAATAAAACAAAACGTTTTAAGTCATAAATGTTAAAATAAAAAAATTTTTTTTTATATATATTACTAAATTTGATGATCTTAAGAATGAAAATATTTCTATAAGATAACCATAAAAAGATTTATTTGAAGCAAAATAAACCTGTGGTGAGATTGTTATTAATAAAAAAAGATTTATGATGTAAAAAAAAATAACGCGAGAATACGACAAACTTCATTGTTACAGGTAACATATAAACCACTTAAAAATTTTTTTAAAGACATTGTAGTTTGGATTAGTGCAACGAAAGGTCTATCACAATTGAGATGTAAAAAAATAGGAAGATATGTTCGTATGGATTCACAACGAGTAAGGGAACAACAATATTAAAACATGACTTTAATTGAAGGTTACACTTGTGCATTGGTTATCAAAGGAAATTTGAATGATGACAAAAGGTGAAAATCCGAAACGAACATGTTTGGAATTACAAAAAGTAAAAAGTAAATGAAAATTTACATTTTGTTACATTTTGAAATGATCCACCCAACTATATAATAATCTATGTGGGGTAAGAATTTACAATAATGTATAACCATATTGGGCCAATGAAACAGTTACAAAGAATAAAGTTCCCTTTTTTGGTCGTCGAAATAACCGATACCTTTTTTTTAAAAGTCAGGTTGAACGTTGCATGAGGTATCGTCGTCTAGATTTCCATTTCCATTATAATCATGTGTCGATTTCGGGCGGGGAGATTTGGAATGGGTTTTTCAACAACTTTTTTTTCATCTTGTGTCTCATTAAATGATGCTAACTAATTTGTAATTCATTAAAGCTTAATATTTAGTTAAACAAAATGTAAACAAAATAATTATGAAAATATTCATGCACCCGAGAGGAGATCATTAAATTCCATTTATGTATGTATATAATAGTACACAGGATATTTCCTTTTATTTAAATTTACCTGAAAAGAAAATAACAATATTATGTATTAAATTTACTTTATTAGCTTGATTTGTAGAAGAATGATTTTTTTTACCCAAATCTATTCGTCAATGGAGGAGGGTGTGATTCACGAGTTTACTTAAAAAAAAAACCAGAACAAATGAATTGACCAATTACATTCGAGTGCAAGCATCTCTTTTATTATTTATTACACGTGACCATTTGACTAGGCGTTGATGATTTCAAAATTACATCTTTTCAAGATTCCTTTTTCTTTGTATTTACCACAAATTTCTTCAAACCTGCCTTTATCACCTTTGACGCAATGAAATTCTATTCCCAAACCAAAATTTTCATGATGTTCAGACCTGATCAGAAAATCCTCCAATTCCTCATTATTAAAATTCCATCTTCCGATCAAATCGATCTTTTTCAAATCCCTCAATACTTTTGAAGGGATTAATTTAAGAAATGGGTCGGCTTCCAAAATCTCATCATCCCCACCACCTCCTATCGTTTCAAGTTTGAGATATTTTAAATTCATGCAAGAACTAAATAATATTTCAATGTCATTAAGCACATTGCTATTCACCCAAAGGTTCAGACTCTCTATATTTGGACAATACGCTGTTATCGTGTTGATGTAATCTGAGACCAAGTCTATGTTTTTCTTATTTAATTCTTTGGTTTCAATTTGAATCTTTTTAATGGTATATTTTGTCTTTTGTAAAAGGGAGATAAATGGGTCAAGCGAATTGATTTCCGACAATTTGATCTCTAAGATCTCCAAGGAAGGTAATTTCATCGAATTTAATGAATCCAATCCATTATTGATGAAGATATTCTCCTTTCCCAGATCTATTGATAAATATCGTAAATTGGTCAAAAAAGGATTGACGTGTTTTAATGATATGTATGAGATATCTTCTTCTTTGAATTCAAGTGAAATCAATGATTTTGTCAAATGTTGTAATGAGCTTGATATGTTTGGACATTCCTTATTATTGAATTCATAATCATAGGAAATGAATCTAATGCGTCTCAAATTTTTTTGTAAGGATATCAAAGTGGCCAATCCTTGATTATCATAGTTTGGATAATTAAAATAAATGTAAATGATTAATTCAGATATGTTTTTTGAAACTTTTGATAATTGATCGTAAATATCTGGTGAAATTCTAGTAGAACATTCTAATCTTGTTATGGTTTGAAATTTTGAATTAAATTCTCCCTTTTCATAAAATTGATTCAGTGATTGATCGCAAGGTAAAATGAAATGATCGATCTTTTGTGAGCCATTTAAAAATAATTTCCATAATTCATCAATCAAATAATATTGATTATTATAAAAATTATAATTGGTCTTGTAATTCTTTTTATATAAGATACCATGAGCGATTTTCGCTATCAAATTCTTTGATAGATATCGACAAGATGAAACGTAATCGTACATTGGTTCTCGATTAATGATGCTAGATTTGGAGATATTATTTAAAACGAGTAATTCTTTAACGTGTTTTGGGAATGACAAAAGGATTGTGTAAGAGATGGGTTTCCAAAATTTTATTGAATAAAATGTATGCTTCCATGGGTGATTTCTCCAAAGAATGGTCACCGCAATGTTTGACCAACGATGATTTAGTTGCATGCAAGTGTACAAATCATTTGGATTCTCCGATAAATTTTCTAGGATATTCAAGATGTATTCTTCGTTAAGGCCTTTTGCCATTTTCAATTCTTCTACTTTGATAAAATTTTTTATTTTTATTTTTAAAGGAATAAAAGAAAAAAAAAAATTGAAAAAAATAATTTTTTTTTTGTCTATTAAATAAAAAAAATAGCGTTTTATATCTTGGTGATCTTGTGTTAATCGCGGTTAAATAAAGATTTAGTTAGGTTAGTCAATTCGGGAGTATTCGAAACAAATGGAAATATAAACCGAAAATAAAATATTTTTTTATCTCCGATAAATAGAGGAATCTGAACATTTAGCACCGGTTATAAAGGAGATCTAATATGTGAGTTGACCATCATCAAGCCTTACATTATCATTTTTATCTGTACGCTTATTTTCTATAATCTTGCGAACATTGATCTTCATGGAAGTAATAAAACTACAAAGTAATAGTGGTGCACAAAGCAATCATTCATTTAATTGAAATAATATCGTGAATATCTTCCACTCCTTTTAAATCGCGCGCCGTATTCTGTATATCATCAACCAAAAATCAATCCTCACCTATTAATGGAAATTTTTTTTTTCCTCAAAACAATTTCTCGAATCAAATTCAAACCTCATCCTCATTAGTGAACCCTACCTTACATGTGTATTTGATTGAGGCTTTTCGAATCAGATTGGAAGCTTCTCGATTTGAACCCTTGCATAAGTGTTATTAAAATAAATATAATTGGGGCTAACACGAGCTCTCGGAAATATTCCATCATATCTTTATTAACCTCTTTTTGTTAAAGATAAATAAGATGTGGTAAAACGTTAATCTCGGGAAAATTAATTTTGAAATTTGGGCATACCTTTCACCGAGGGTAATTGGTTCGCGATGTGTACAAAAAGTCATTATATTTATATTTGTATTTACATGTATTGTTGTTATAGCTACATATGATAAAGTATTGGAATCTTTCATATTTTTTTTTTTTACGGAACTTTAATGTGAACATTGGGTGGATTAATATGGCACACAAGAAAATAAAAATATTTACACCATCATTTCGTTCCAATGATATTATATAAATCTTCAATATGGAATCCCAATATATATATATATATTTCTTAATTGTTCTTGCTCAAATACTGAGGAAACAATATCGTTTGACGAGAATTTATTATATGTATAGTTACTTGGTCATTAAAGGTATCGAAAACGCGTTAAATTTTTTGGACACTAAAATGATTGTTTTTGTTTTTGTAGAGATATGAAATTTACCTTTACCAATTGTAATTCAAATTAATTAAATTAAATTTCATCAAATGGTTTGTTCATATTTAATGTCACAACAGCAATAATCGCTAGTAGTAAATCATCATCATAAGTTCCCAAATAAGAAATTAGTCACTGTAAAACGGTGGCAATGATATTAAAAAAGAGTTTAATTCAATCGACTGTTGAATTCAAAATTCTTGCGAATGTATATAAACTTTTGAAACGAAACTTTCAAATTGAAGCAAGGACCATGACCCATTATTAACGTACCTAACCTTCTTCATTCACTTTTTTTTTTTCTTTTGGATAAATAAGGCTTGATTACTTGAACAAAGTAATTCGAATTGCTATTGTTTCGTGGCTCAGCAGCACAGCACATTATAGGTGGGTAAAATGACAAAACAAATAAAAATTTCCTTATCCAGTAAAATCATCCATAAAACTTTTAAAGATTCGATATCCAAAAAAAAACAAATAAGAAACAAATGAAAACTTTTAGAAATCTTCATTTAGTATGAGATCATTGAAGTCACCTGATATAAATCTTATCATTGAAGTTCTCATTTGGGTAAAATGGCAAATAATTGTTGAAAATAAAAGATTATAATTACGAACACCAATAGCAAGAGTGAAATCCCCCGAGTAATTAAATAAGTGTAACCCTCTCGGTTTTCGACCGATATAACCTGTTCCAATAAAAAAGAATATTACTCAGTCAATAATATAAAGGTCGAACAACAAAAATATTGCCAAAATATATTTTATAATGTTTACAGTAAAGAAATTTGACAGCCAAAATTTTTACCAGTAAAAAAAAAGATACTATATAAATATGGTTTAGATGATTTAATGACGGAATTTATTTATTCAAAAATTGTAATTATGATCACAAACGGATCAGCATCTATATAATCTGTCTTAAAAATAAAAAATAAAATAAAATAATCTAAACTAAGCATATAATTGACAAGTACGTTTATGAAAATGATTTCCGTTTCTCCTAATTTGATTATAATCAGCCAAGCACCTGTAATGTGTAATAAATATTAGCTACTTTTTTTTTCTTTATAAAGTTTAAGTTAAAAATACTTACAACCAACAAAACTCGTATTTACAATTTTGAACTCTACAAGTCATATGATTACAGCCACCATTTTTAGTGATTCTTACTCCACATTTGGGACATTGTTTGGTTTCGCGATTAAGTAGATCTTGAGTAGCCATGTCTTCACCTTGTTTTGCTTCATTGTATTCCTCACAAGAGAGAGTATCATGCCATGGAATGTCGTGCGTGTAACAAGATTTTTCCCCACATGCTTCGCATGTCATTATAGGTTCTTTATCTGAAGAAAGAAATGGTGATCGGAAAGATTAATTAATTTTCTTTATTATATTTTTTCTTCGTGTTTAGTTTCCAAATACTTACCACCTCCGGAGTGAATTTGACCAGAACCACAACCGGCATTCTTACACCACCTGAAATCCGGCATACTTCTCAACGCTTGTTTCAATGACAAACTATCATACCTGTAAATAATTTAAAAAGATTTAATTATTTCAACGAAATTTTTTTCAAGTTTTTCTCTTTTGCAAAGAAAAGTATGAATTACTTACTGATCAAATAGACTAGAATTTACAATTCTTTGAACATCATTGTATTCAATCAAAAGACCACAACTATCACCAAAAGGACAAAGTATACCCTCAATGTCACCCTTTGAATTTAGCTGGGTTTCTATATGTTTAGAAACACAAACCTTACAAATATCATTGGGATGTGAACAATATTTTGTGACCTTTGGAAAAAGTTTTACACTGCGAGATTCTACACAAATCATACATTCCTTTTCTTTTTTTTTCTTTAGCGAAGAAGAGCATGTCTCGTTATCAAAACTATATGAAGCAATAGAAGTCGATTTGGTCGAGATATTTGTATCATCGTCATCATCTTCGAGAGATAAATTTTTGAGATAATCGGAAGTTACAGTAAATTGATAAGGAGAATCATCATTATCAAAAGAAAGATCATCAGTCGAAAGAGCCGTTGAAGGAGAATTTATTGAAGTAGTTGAATAATTATATGAGGTTGGGGTAGTTTTGTAAGAATGTGGAGGAGAAGTTGTGTAAGTAAATGAAGGAGAAGAAGTTGAAATATTTGAAGTTGTGTAAGTAAATGAAGGAGAAGAAGTTGAAATATTTGAAGTTGTGTAAGTATATGAAGGAGGAGAAGTTGAAGTGTAAGTATATGAAGGAGAAGAAGAAGTTGAAGCTGTGTATGTATATGAAGGAGAAGAAGAAGTTGAAGCTGTGTACGTATATGAAGGAGAAGAAGAAGTTGAAGCTGTGTACGTATATGAAGGAGAAGAAGTTGTTGAAGTTGTTTTTGTATAAGAAGGAGAAGAAGAAGAAGTTGAAGTTGTGTAAGAATATGAAGGAGGAGAAGTTGAAGTTGTGAAAGAATATGAAGGAGGAGTAGTTGAAGTTTTAAAAGTATTTGAAGAAGTTGTATAATTATATGGAGAAGTTGTATAATTATATGGAGATGATGTATATGATGAAGGAGGAGAAGAACTTTCTTCTTCCTTTCTAAAAGACGATGTAACCGAGAAAGTATACATTCTCTTTAATTTTTTTAAAATTTCGAAATTTTATGAGAACAAAAAAAAAAAACGAACAAAAAAAAAATTGCAAGATTAAAAATGAACAATAGGCAAACAAAATTTGGCGTACAAAATGGTTGTATATTTATTATATTTATAAAAATAATTCTGTGCCCAATTTGGCGCAGTACAAATAAAAAGATTTCTAAATTTATAGACATTTGGCGAATATGTATGATTTTTCATTAATCTCCGATACAAATAAAGTATCATAATAATTCCTCCAGGTTCCATTTATTGTTTTTTTGCCCATCCGACCACCAGGCAATAGTTCTTGAATGTACCAAAATTTGGAATCGAAATTTTGAGTGTAATAATATAATTTATCATTTGCATGGAACGATGTAGCGACGTGAAATGGTTGCTTTAAATAACCGTGAGCAGTCTCGGGTCCCATCTTACCACCGTCAAATAATTCCCTTATAAACCAATATCTACGTTCAACGTTATGTCCATAATAATAGGTTTTGTCATTTATGCTAAAAGAAAAGGCAACGTGATGAGGTTGAGCGCATGTACCATTTGCGGTTTCTTCTCCTATTTTACCTCCGGGCATTAATTCATGAATCGTCCAATCATTTGTTCTAACATTATGACCATAATGATAAATTCTACCATCAAAGGTACGAAATGGAAATGTTACATGATATGTCGTTTTCCATGTTCCACTGGATGTTTCTTTACCTAATTTCCCTTCTTCTAATAATTCTTGAATGTACCAGTAATTCGAGATTGAATTTTGGGCGTATAAATAACTTTTATTGTATATTTTGAATGTGAATAAGACGTGATATGGATTTTCTAATGTACCACTTGATGTTTCTTTACCGAATTTTCCTCCTTCTAATAATTCATGAATGTGCCACGTATGCTTATTTGCATCATGCGAGTAATGATATGCCATATCATTAATTTGATATGAAATGGCTACATGACTATTCAATTTTTTGGTGTAGGATGTGGAGTGCTTCTTTGACTTTGCTGTGATGGGTTTGAGTGATAGGGATAATGTTTTTGTGAGAGAAAGTCGATTTGTTGATTTGGTTGTCCTTTCTGTTCCTAATTTACCATCGGCTATCAATGCCCAATATCCTACCATAATTTTTAAGAGTGTTTGTTATAATTAATCAGTGATGTGAGTGAGATATGCCCAATTTCAAAGAAAATAGATTTGAATTTTTTTTTTATTTCCTTTTTTTTTTTTAAAAAAAAAAAAAGAAAAGAAAAGAAAATAATGTTAATAAATGATAATAAATGTAATGATTTTAACTTTACTTTTACAAAAAAAAAAAAGGAAAAACAACACGTCTTCTTTTATATAAAAAATAATTTATACTAATATACTATAACGCAAGTAATATTTAATCTTTAAAACAATCAAATATACAAAATACTAATAAACAAACAAACTTTTAAATAATCTGTTATATTACATTCGTACGAATCATGTCATTTGCAACGTTTGGTTTTCGGATTTCTCATTTATTGGTCCTTTCAATTTATGGGAGCATTATTGCTATTTAAAGCAAACAAATAAGAAAGAACAATTAATTTGGAATGTTATTTTAAATAGAAATTTCTATATTTAGAAATTACTTAAATTTCTTTCTTTTTAAAAAAGATTTTTCGAATAATTAATTTCGAACCAATAGTCATTAAATATTAACTAATTTTACCATAAACAATACAAATCGAGACAAGAATATTAAAAACTTCAAACATTTAAGGGTCTAAAATAGATTTTAATTATCATTTGGGAAAATTGTTTTCGCAATTCATGATATAAAGTATCTCCAAAACAAGTTATTAATTTTTAAAAAAAAAATTCTCGGACCGGACGCCATTTCCAAATTTCAAGCGATGAAATTGTAACCTTCCAAATTTTGTCATTAATTCCGTAGATAGGATCTTTTATAAATGAAATGTCAAATAAAGTCTAATACTAAATACTGTTTCTCAATTTGAATCGTAAATTACTGCCAAAATGAATAAGATGAAACTGTTCAATTGAAAGAGAAATAGAGTGGTGTGATCGACTTTGAATGTATTTTTCTGAGCGATTGGCATTTTTGTCCTATATTTACTACTTGATTGTTTATGTTTTAGGTTTTTAATAATTGGAATGATTGGACCAATCATCACCTTTTGTATGCTCCTGTTTCAAAAAGGATTTTCTTCTTGGGTAGATATCCTACATTTGATACGCAGTTGTTGTTGAAATATGGATATCTTTATAATGACTGGACATATGGCGCAATTTTTATGCATCTTTTGACAGCGTCGCTTTTTTTCTTTTTCTTTTTTTTTTGCTTTCAGTCATTTACGATTATTAAGATGAAGCACATGGTTACCTATGAGTAATTACTGTGTCCAATCCCGAGAATTCTGAATGATACACGTTTTCCCCATGAGCCGGGTTTGGATAAATTTACAGCTCTCCAATAAGACATTTTGTTTTCTTTCTCTTTGGAAAGAGCAATTAATTATAAATGCATTTATTCCATCGGCACCCGATGAAATTTTGTCGTTCCCAATGATTGATAATAATTACATAACAGAAAGTTATCGGTGCATACATCATACGCAATGTCATGTAACTTTATAATGATTTACAGTAAAATTTTCACATCCTCCGACTTTTCGTTCTTACAAAAAAATTTGAGGACAAAGAAATATTTCGGTGTGTAAATCCTATTTGCCAAATATTACCTCTTCTTTTTGAGTTAAAATCATAAATATATATGGTTAAAGCGTTTACCATTTCATGGAATTAATAAATAAATCGTTTATTTTTATAATTTACTTTGAAAATACAATATACAATTTAAATACAATTAACTCTTCTATCAGATATAAAATGTTTAAAAGTTATATTATTCTAATAAAGTATTCCCAATCATTAAATTATTTATTTTTAATAAATTTATCATCATTAAACTATTTACGTTTAGAATAAAGTTTCATATAAATCATACTGTAAAGAAAAAATTACTTACCTAAAAAGGAAAATATTAATAAAAATTAATTAACAATATTACTTAATAGTACATAATTATTTGTTGCATGTTATTTTTAAAAATGACCTACATATTATATATAAATATTAATTAAGAATTATTAATTATAATAAATATATTATTAGAAATAAATAAAAATAAAAAAATTATGATTATTAGAATAAAAAGATTAAATTTTATTATTATAATATAATTAATTACATAACTATTAAAATAAAAATCTTAAATATTATATTATCTTAATTTAAGATTGTTTCTTTTTCAATAAATAGAAAAGTTGTTATTTATATTTATAAATCTTTAAAAATAAATATAAATGTATTAAGATTATCTTTTGAATTAATGAAAAATATACAAAAGAATTCATTTTATAAAAATATATAGTATTCTAAGTTAGCATTACTAATTTTTCAAGCAGTCCAGTGACTGTTTTTAGTCAAAATCATAAAGTAACCGTTAAAATTTTGACTTAAAATTAATGTAGATATCCATAATATATGTTTATTTACTATTAATTTATATGTTATTCATTGAACAGTATATTTATCATGTATATAGTCAGTTGTTAGACAAAACTGATTTATAAAATATTAAATATTATGTAAATTTGATGGAACAGCCCAAAATCCATTTTATAAGATTAAATTTACTTATATTTTTTTTCTTATTTATTTAGAAATTTTAAAAAATTTAAAATGAGCGAAAGAAAAAAATAAAAAAAATTATTAAGCTAATATATTTTTATATATATATGACATCATATGGGTTTTTGCAATAGAAAGGGTGGAAATTACCAGAAAAAATCAATTTTACTTTATATGTCAAATATGATTTTTAGGCTGAAATATATTCAAATTTAGCATTAACTCATTTTTTAATTTTCTGGCAGTTTCTCTTCTTTCTATTGCAAAGGTCTCATATTACCACTGTAGTTCATTTTATTTTATAAAAATTTAACTATTATTTATTAAGCTAATATATATATAGGAGGCAGTCAGTAGAAAAGAAGAAAATCCAAAATTTTTATTAATTTTTATTATTAAACCAAATTTGTACACATGATCGAGATTAGCAAAGTAGTCTAATAATATAAATTTTGACCAAAATTTAGATTTTCCCTTTTCTACTGACTGCCTCTTATATATATAATATCATATTACATTATTGCTATTTTAAAGTTTTTTTTTTAAAAAAAATTTTCATACTCAACTTTAATAAAAAATATTTTTTACTTTACTTAAATAAATTTATTATTTAAAAAAGGATAAATATTAAAGAAAATAAATATAAATAGGTTGTAATTGTGTAACTAACAAAATTCAAGACTCTTTTAAAAAAATTAAAAAAAATCAAAATTAAGAAAATCTAAAGAACCAAGCATTAGAAGTAAGTAAATAAGAAATTTATATTGATAATAATATGGTTTAAATAATTTATTAATTAAATAAGTTCTACCTATATAAAATAATTTTTATAGAATCAAATCATAAAATATTTTAATGGAAAAAACTTACCTTCAAATATTGAACCTAATAAAAATTGTTTCGTTGAATATTAAAAATGAAGATCTAAATAATATATTATCATTTTCTAATAATGCTTCTCTTACTCATAATATCTCAGATATTGATATTTATAATATAGATAAAGAAGAGGATGAATATCAAAAAACCATAAACAATAAAAAAGGTATTTAAAATATATCATCAATTTTTTATATTTCTATATAAATATTAAATTTTTTTTATAGATCCAATTATTTTTGATTATCAAAGTATTGATGTAATGTTTTAAATTATACGAAAAAAAGTTGAAACTTTCATAAAAGTTGAACAAATTATCAATGCTGCATTAATAATTAGTGAAAAATATCCAATCACATTGGTTAAAATTAATAATCAAGTGTTATGTCTGACAAAGTCATCACAAGACCATGGTGAC